CGTTAGTACCGCATAGTATTTAATAATCGCGCTACGAATCGCTAGCTAGAGTTTAACGAGGAGATAGCGGATCCTATACTCCTCGCTATAGTCGCTAAGTTAATCTTCGAGTACTACGAGCTTAAGGGCAAAGCTTTAGACTAACTGTCCCTTACGCTAACGAGCTGCCTTATACTCGAGGGTTACGTCTAGTATACGGTTTATAGGGTCCCCGACGTAGTCCCGATAGAAGGTTTTAAAGTCCTAGTAGGTATAATTCTATAGGTCCTTAAGGCTGTTTTCGTTATACTATCGCTCCTACGCATCGCCTACGAGGTATATAATACTATAAAGCACCTTGCTTTCGTCCGTATAATAAGTAGCTCCGGATAGCGTAAAGGTAATAGAAAGTTCCCGAAGGAATCGCCTCGACTCCTTAATCGTATCGCCTTTAAAGGGCTTAGGTTCCTTTAGGCGAGGCTTAATAGCCGTAAGACTAGCGACTATATAGCTTATACTAGGTATAGTAGCTACGCTTAGCGCACTTCCGGAAAGAGGTAGTCGATACGAGACAGATTTAGCTCTCTAAGATTTAGGCCTCTAAATCGACTCGTTAGCTAATTCTTCCTCGTCCTCGTCCTTGTCCGAGGGTAGGGTCCTCGTAGGACCCTCGCCGGTAGTGCCGCTACTCGGAGCTAGCATATCGCCTACGTCCCTAAGGGTACAAAGGCGCGCATTCTCTCGCTTAGCTTCTTAAGCCTATACTTCTAGCCTAAGCACTTCTTGCTTAGCTAGAAATCGTTCGAGCCGTAGGCGGGTCGCTTCTTAGCGCGCCTAATATTCGGCTTCGTCTTATTGTATCGCTGCGTCGTTTTCTAATGCTGTCGGTACTCCTAGGGCATTATTCTACGCGTTTCCCGCGCTCGGCGCATTTAGACCGCTTACGTTTATCTTTCGGGGTTCTATAGGCCGCTACGAAGGGTAGACGGTTTAGAACTATAAGAAAATAGGTATATAGCAACGTATAGAATACCCTCTACTAATCGCCGTAGTAGAAAGTAGAACTAAACCGTACCTTTCTTAGAACAGGGCAGAGCGTTTACTATTAACTAGGCTACGTACGGATAGTACCTATGCCGAGCCGGCAACCGAGTATATCCGTATAAGCGACTAAGCTTTTCCGCGTATGCGCTAAGCAGGCTTTACGCTAGCGAGACAGCACCGTAGTGCACGTAATAACATTACATAATTGTTATATAGGCTTGCTAAGGCATAACAGGAGACTTCACTTGCTTAGGTTCTTATATATAGCTACCTTCCTCGCTAATAGATTACTAAGGTTACAGACAGCTAACCTACTAATGCGAACACTATATAAGATTAGCACTAGCTATAAGCCAAATATAGCCTATATCTACTAGTTTAGAGTAAGGGTATATCTAGTAATCTACGGCATAGAGACAACTAATAGTAATAGCAAAAGGAAGGCTATACTACCGAATACTATAAAAGTAGCCTTACGGACCTATATTAGATACCTATATAGATACGAGGGACACTCTATCTATCGGATATAGGTACCCTTACGAATAATAGTGCTACGTACTAGAGACGTTACATTTAATAAGACTAAGTTCTATAATAGCTATAATAACGACCTAGGCGTTGTTATAACTAACTAAGAGCTTGTAGAAGAATATAGTAATCTCGAAGAGGCACAAGCACCCGCCTCGGAGCATTAGTTTAACGAGCTTCGAGAAGCCTATAATACACCTCTAGACCTTGTTAGGTTTAGAGCTAAGGGGGTAGATACACTAATAGGGCCTAGTCGACTTATAATAGTTAATAGGCTAATAGGTAACCCTATTAGACTAGAGCTACTACTACCTTAAGAAGAACTACTAGCACTAGCTAAGCTATAGCTTATATAGGTACCTATATAGAAATAGGACTTTCTAATTAATCTACGCGAAGCAATAGAGCCGCGTAATAATATACTAGATAGATTAGTAGAACTAACTATTAATTAGCAGCCTTAACCTAAGAACGATACTAGCTATAAAGCCCCTACTAACAATATAGACGCACTAGGTTATACAGATAATATAGACTTCAACTTGCTACGTACTAAGCTAGCTAAATTGCTAATACCAATTAAAGCTACTAATATATCTTATCGTTACTTACTAAATTTAGGCGGTCCGTACTACCGTATTAATAATCCAAACAAGCGATAACGAGTAGCTACGATCTACTATAACCGAGAACAAGCGAGAAACCTCCTTCTATTTAGCAACCTTTATATAGCCGCCGAATATAAAGCACGCTTTATATAGCCTACTCGATCTAATAAGTCTAACCTACCTAACTTACTAGATCTAGATCCGCTACCACTTCTACGAGACGAGCATAATCTAAGTCTTACACTAAAGATCTCAGACTTGCTAAAGGAGCTACGTAACTAGCGATAGGTACTAAAGAGCAAATTTAAAGAGTATTAGATATATACTACAAGAGTGGAATTTAATAAGGCATTAGAGACACGTATATTCGAGTAGGTAGATCTAAACATACTAGATAAACCTAACCTCCTACCTCTTACCTAGGTATTTAAATACAAGGGTAATGCTAATAGTCGACTAATTAAGTTTAAAGCAAGAGTGTGTGTAAGAGGGGACCTTTAGAAGAACATACACTTAGACACCTATGCCTTAATACTAGCTATACGAGTTTTTAGAGCCCTTATAGCTATCGTAGCTAAGTTTGACCTAGAAGCTAAGCAAATGGATGCAGTTAATGCCTTCCTTAATGCTATATTCCTATATACGCTATACCTTAGGCCGCCTAATAGATTTAAGTAGAAGGGTAAGATATTAAAACTAATCTAAGTACTCTATAGTCTATAGGAGTTACCTCGGCTATAGTATAACCACTTTACTACAATACTAGAAAACAAACTTAGTATACAACTAGTAGATAATGTAGACTACCTATATACCGACCTAGACAAACAGGTATTTATCTTCTTCTATATAGACGACATTATACTGTTGTATTACCGCTAGCATATGCAAAAGGCAATAGACCTTAAGCAGAAGTTAATAAAGGAATATAAAATAAGTAACCTAGGAAAGCTCTTATAGTTCCTTAGCATTGAAATTATACGCGATAGGCAGAACAGGAAACTATAGCTATCTTAGAAGGCATATACCGAGAAGATAGCTTAAAGATACAGTGTCGTAATAGCTAGTCGAAGAGCTAAAGCACCTCTACTAACTAGATACGAGCTATATAAGAAACTAACTTCTAGTAAAGATAACTCTGCTCGAATTAATCTATTAGCAATCCTAGCCTACTAAAGCCGTATAGGGTCACTTAACTTTGTAGTAGTGCAAACTAGGCCGGACATAGCTAAGGCAGTATCCTTATTGTCTAAGGCTCTATAGAACCCGCGGACAGAAGATATAGCAGCAGTAGACTAGTGCATTAGGTACCTGCTAAACACGAAGGACCTATGCTTAGAGTATAACGCAAACGGACTAACAATTACCGCTTATTCAAGCTAATAGCTTTATAAATTCTACGGAGCTTCTAACGCATCCTGTAGTAACTATAAAGGCACGAGACAGTCGTTAGAGGGATAGATATTTAGCCTATTTAATAGACTAGTTAATTGGAAGGCAGTACGATAGTTAACTATTACTAAATCTACGACTAAAGCTAAACTGCTAGCTGCCTTATATATAGGCTTAGAATTGATCTAGTAGAAGCGTTTCTTTAACAATATTAGCCTTACCTTAGACAGCATTCCTATGCTATACTATAACAATATATAGACTATCCGTATTATTAAAGCTAATGCTAGCAAACTAGATACGAAGCTCCGCTATATAGATATTCACTAGTGCTAGCTAAGGCAAGAACATAAGGCTAGAAGGATTTAATGCGAATACCTAGCTATATAGGACATACTAGCCGATAGAATAACTAAGCTCTATAGCCCTTAGAACTAGAAGAGGTTTATTAAACAGCTAAGACTAACTAGACTACCTAACCTAATAACTAACTAAGATATATAGTTGTAGGGGTATATAAGGAAGCAACTCTTCCTTTAACAACCTCTTCCTCTTTAGTAATACAAAGATAACTCTATATAGTAGGTAGTAGGCGCCTCCCCTATTAATTGTAACTAAGTCGATTAAGCATACCTTTATCGATTAGCGCTAACAAAAGTGTCTAATACGATAGCGACGACTAATTAGGACAAAGGATTTAACCTTACTTCCTAATACGTTATTGTCGCCTATATTATTACTTCGAACGTTACTTCTACTAACTAATAACAAGTCTACGGCGATTGTATTAGTGCTAGTAATAATAGTGCAGTAGTCTTAGCTAAGGGTAGCGTCCTTAGTTAAGTTACCTATCCTAATTTATTAAATCTGTTTAACTAATATATATCTTACCTAATCCTTTATCTAATTAAATAGACGCTACCTATGCGATTAATATAATAACCGATAGTAATAATATAACGGGCTTAGTTTAGCTAAACTAACTTTACTAACGATACGAGTTCTTATATAAGGCTTAATAGTATCGGTCTATACTTAGACTACGTAGGAAGACAACAGTTCCTAGTAACAGGGACCGTATATAAAGGTATATACGTAGTCCGGATTATGTAACGATATCCTTCTAGGGTAATTAGGGTATAAAATAAGACTCTCTTATATATAGTATAGATTCGAACTATTTTTTTAGTAGTTTAATAAAGTACTATATAAGGAGTTAAAAAGATTAATTTTCTTTTGTTTACATATAAAGAAGCATTAAATACCTTGCCTAAAATAGAAGGCAACCTCTTTTGTGTAAGCTAAGGGGGTATATAACGCGTTAGCTTAGTTATGTAACAAGTGCGTAACTTCTTAGCTTAAAGAATTTTCATTGTATTTTAGACTATAGAATAGAGCAGAACATAGGCAATTAACGAAGCCAATTCAACCGCCGGCAATGCAGTATTACGTAAGTAATCCACTGCGCTGTGCGTGATAAGGATCAGCCGCTTTCCGCTTTCCGCTTTCCGCTTTCCGCTTTCCGCTTTCCGCTTTCCGCTTTCCGAGTCGGCCTGTGCTGAACAGAGTTCAAGCACTGCCCTGAGTCCAGATCTGGTCTCGACGACACCGCTTCTATTTTCTCACCAACCTTCTTCTTCATGATCATAAAAATGTCCGCGGCGTTACATCCGCAGCGAAAATGTCGGCATTTCCAGGCAGTATTGTGAGACAACTCGCTCGCGGAGCAGTGGCCACGTACCGGAAACAGCAATGACGGCGAATCCTCGCAAATGCATCGCTCGGCTGCACTACTTCAACTGGATCTAGGAGAAAGAATCGATTCATCCGCGACAGGATACACAACCGACGACTTGTATCTCTTCTCTTCTAGGCCAGGCCAACCACCCAAAGAGCGTGCGATATGCAGTCCCGGCGACCGATCAGTCCGGTTCTTGCCCGAAGAGATTCAAAATGCCAGCTTCTGCGGTCGAGCAAGGACTGTTCAGTCTCTTCGAGGTCATCTCAAAGCTGATCGGCAACCACTCTCGTACCTCGTCATCCTCGCCTAGGATCATCTTGGCAACAGCTTCTCCGCTGCCCCAGCACAACGGCATTCCATATCCATTGAAACCTGCTGCGATGTATTCGCCGTCACCGTGCCTCGTGGATACAGACTTTGGAACACGGCCGACCCATGGCAAGTGATCAGCTGTAAATCCCAGTACACCAGACCAGATGGACTTGATCTCTGGCTGCTGACCGGAAGGCCATCCTTTCGCGAATATTTTGGGCAGAATGTTGACAAGTGTGTCCTTTGACACGCTACTAATGGTTGTGTCGTCGGCGGTGAGCAGCTCCAAGGCCTTCTGTCTCTCACCACCAATGAAGATGTCGCCAGTCTTCTCGTTTTGCGTGATGTAATAGAGCCCGTAGGAGAACGTCTCATCAGACGCATCGTAGCTCGGCCTTCCTACCGTAGACCACGACTTCTTTTCGCCCTCGCGAGGAAATTCTGGTCCAGCAGCCTGCGTCGACATCGTACCGCGGACCGGAAAGATCTTCCCTCGTAAATTGGGAAGAAGGTGACCAGCCCAGCCATTCGTGCAATGAATCACTTTGGAAGCACGAATTACTCCGCGAGCAGTGGTGACAGTGTAGGGGTATGCTGCATCTTCTGCTGGCGCGTAATCAATTTCAGTGACTGGCGTCTCTGTTTCGATCGAAAAACGATCTTGGTACTGCGTGAGCATCCGAGAGTAAAGGCCGGTGACCAAACGGTAAGGCCAGAATGCGCCGGCACTATTGGTAATTACCCCTACCGTGTCTTTCATATTGAACTCCTGCAGTCGCAGTTAGCAAGTGGACCTACTTCAGTGTGCTGGACGCCTACCTTCAATCCCTCTTCTGCCGTATAGACACGATGGTCACCTCGGAACTCGGGCAAGCTCTCTTCATATCTCTTCTGGCTTTCCTTTGCCGTTTCAAAGGTGTCCTTATCATAATAACCAGTAATGGTGGTCACTCTCCTAGCCTCCGCCGCTTTGCTCAGAGCCTCATCTTCATCGGCCAAAGCGTACATGGACTCCAAGGTCCTGATAGCAAACCGAGATATTTTCGCCGTCTCCTCACGTCCAAGGACCTTCTCGACGTGGAGGAACTCCTCTGGAAGTGGCGACAGAAGATGGCCACCATTTCTGCCTGTCGCTCCACTAGTCAGAGTCCGAGCTTCCAGAATCGTGATGCCATCCCGAGAATCGGCAGAGAGACTGTGCAGTAGATGCGTGGCAACGCTACATCCAGTCACACCAGAACCTATGATGGCATATGTCGTTTTTGATGGTAGCCGAGCAGACTGAGTTTTTGATATTGGAGACGGAGGCCACTGCCAAAATGCTTTAGTGGGATTTGGCCTGGGTAACAGTGGATCTTTCTGCGCATCAATGACCAGCTGCGAAATGATAGTCGATGGAGCACGTTCTGCTCGCATGGTCGTCATATTCTCAAGACGAGGCGGGCGCTGCTAGGACATACTTGATGAGAAAGAAGAAAGCTCTCTAGACTTGCCTGGATCTTGGCTTTCACTGCATATTAGAGGAGTGCACGTACGCTCCCCGCGCGCTGCGAAGTCCGATAATTCACATGTTGGGGAGCCATGGAAGCAAGCTGCAAGCAAGCACCGAACAGTTTTGAGTTCAGCCAAGAGAGGAAGTCGCAGCCGAGACAGGTCACCCATGATTCCATAAAGTATTCTACTGTGGATGTATGAACAAAATTTGACACAAGGCAGGCTGACGTGACTCCAGATAGTGAGCTTGCACTGAATCCTATTACAAAATGCCTGGAGGAATGCTCCTGCTTTCCTGCAACATACCACATCATGTCATTCGCGCTCACGACGATGGGTTGGGGTACACCACCGTAGGACTCTTGCCCTGGGGAGTTCCCAAGACCTCTTCAAACAGATTCTTCCACCACTCCACATTCGCACGATCCTGTTCAAAGACACGGAAGTCATTGATCTGGGTGGCATTGCTCGTGTATGGAGAAACACCATATCGCTCATTGAGAGTCGTCAGGACAGAGCTGGAACCAGAAGCCGCCGTGGCATTTTGTCGCTCGTTGCTCGTGAGCCACGAAACGAAAAGCTTCGCGGACTCGGGCATTGGTGTGTCCTTGATTATGCCGGTTGTCTGAGCCCAGGATACGTATTGCTCGGGAGCTTCTGGGAGCTTTGTCGCCAAGAAGTCGGCATTGGCGTAACTTGTAAAGGATAGGACTCTCTTGGACGTGGTGTTGTGTGAGTCGATCAACTGGAATCCTGGAGTGCCGGTGCCACGAACCCATTGGATATCGTTGTTGGCCAGATCATAGAGCCACTGATAGCCATAGCGACCGACAATGAGCGCGAACAGGGATGCGACGGCATCGTCGTCATTGGGGTAGGTCAGAATCAATTTCCCCTTCCACTCTGGCTTCGCAAAGTCGCCGAAGGATGACGGGACTTGAGAAGCATTGAGCTTGGTACTGTCGTACAAAATTGACCCAAAATTATACACCTGGAATCCGGTCAGTACACAACCTTGTTTGGGTGTATGCGCACGCATCTACGGACCAAGCAAGCGTACCACGCCCCATCAAGGTCCTTCTGGTCCTGTAGGATGTCGTCGAAGGTGGCGGGCTTGTAATTCAGCAGCTTGCCTTCTTGCTTCCATCTCGGAAAATCTTGCAGTGTCTGAAGGACGGCCACATCAGCCACATGAATGCCCTCTTGGTATGCGCGATCGATTCGATTGTCGTGATACTTCGACAAGTCGACCGTCAGATTGAGCTTGACATCGGGGTATTGAGCAGCCCAGGCGGTTCGAAGATCGTCGCCCTGGCTACCAGCGTCTCCACCCCAGAATACTTGGAGAGTGCCATTCTCTTTGCGAGCTGCTTGGTATATAGCGTCGAGCGATCTTGTATCTGGTTCGACCAAGGCAGAGTATGCTGATGGTGATGCCGCCGCCGCCGCCGCCGCCGCTAAGGCTGCTGCACTGGTAAGAATGAGTGATGTGGACAACATTGTGATCGTTCACTATGCCACAATTTCAATGGCCACTGCAAGCTCGTTTGCGTAGTTAGGCTTGCGCCTTTTATCCTGTGGCAGCGCGGCCGACATCATCGTGGCTGATCTTAGAAATTCAGCGCGGCACCCTTCCACGTTTGCGGCCCGGTCGAACACTTCCCATGGTGAGATGCTGTAAGCACAAGCAGCAGGGTAACGACATTCCGTAAGATCTCGACTAGCAGTCATTAGTGTTGAACGGACGGCTTCAGTGTTATATGCGCCGCTTGAAATGCCCGAGATTGGCGGAAAAAGTTCGGCGGCCAAAACGTACGAGTAGATGCCGGACGTTGATTTCCGAATATTCAAAAAGTCCGCGCCATATAGTAGACCCAGGAAGTCTCGGGATCCTCGGTACGCTGTATCACTATTGTAGCAGAATGTATCTCTATAGAAAGAATTAGATCGTCGGATAGCGCTAATCTAGACTTTGCTTTGCATACCACTGTCGATTTACCAGCGCAGTTTGCTACCTAGAAGCCACATGCATGTTCTCAGCTAGTAGGTCGTACATGTATAGCATAGACTTTTGAATACCACAACAGTACAGTGTTTGCCTTCCTAGAGTATCGCAATAGACATGGGCGTGTGAGCTGCGTAAAGATCCATCGCAGCCCATCCGACCAAGCTGTAGACGTCCTACAACTTTCCGTAGCGCATACCTATCACACTACTGCTTCATCGAATTTGAACCAGTCGGTCGCACCGTTGAACAAGAAGTCATCGTCCCACGAGTAGAGGTTATCGGTCTGCATGTCGATACTGCCAAGATCGTATGCAGAGGAGGCATCTGTCGTAGCCGCAGGCGTCAAAAGCGCCATCAAAGGACTCGTCGTCGTTTCTACCGGTGCCGTCGAAGTTTGATTTCTCGCTTCGTCGCCAGAAGAAGGTTGAGCAGCTGCATCGCCATGACCATCCAACCACACCCTAGCCTGCTCGAGAACGCGAGTTGCAATGCTCTCCATCTTCGCCGCAAGTGGTGTGCGACGTCGAAGCGGATTGAGAAATGCCGGCAGATGTTCCATACATTCCAAAGATTTCTGATTCGTCTGAAGTTGAGTCTTGCCAGTGACGAGAATTTCCCCAAACAAAGCCATGAAGACGAAGAATGGATAGTGTAAGAGTTGCCAGATGAGCGCGCCGTACTGCTCGTTTGTGTTCGAGATCAGCTTTTCGAGTGATAGGAGCATGTCTTGAGACACTTTGGTACATTGGCCTCGACGTGATTTGTGACAACGGCAGAGTAAAATTAACAGGAACCTGTAATGGAAACGCAAAGTTTCCAGGCCGTGCTCGATAGCTCGAATGCCATTTGGGGCGAGGAACGGTTTTTCTGCAATCGCGGTAGCTTCCAAAATCTGGATTTTCTTCAGTATCTGTAGACAAGTGGTCACTTCCAGTGCACGTTACCTGTACGGCATTTGAGTTCCACGACTCCAACTTATCTCTCGCAGTGGTAATAGCTTCGCTGTCTGATGCCTCCATTCCATAGACACAGTGCCATATGTCGCCCATAACTCGAGACAACAGCATGATTTGATGCATGAAGTGTGCTTGGAAGAGGGATGGCCGCCCAGTCGTATCTGAGGGCAAGAGCTGCTCGAGGGTAGGCATAGCAATCTTGCCGACAGTATCATGATGAAATACTGGCGGCCTTGCCATCGTGAGCGCCATAGCCTTATCAAAGATGTTCAGGCGCCAGAATATGATGCTACGCTGCTCTCTGAGAGGGGTGTCGATGTGCCGATGTGTCACGCCTAGGGCTTGAAGCATTGTGCACGCATTCGTCACCAAGCTCCAACAAAGCGAAGGTGTCATAAATTCCGTAATCTGTGTTGCCAGAATGAGAAGGGCCTGCATATTTGTGATATCCGCGACGATGCTGACTCGAATGTCGTTGAAGGCCAGCCAGATGTTGCTGCGAAGCTCAGCTTTCGTTGTCTCATCAGCTTCGTCGCGCGAGCATTCTATGCCGAACGCGATACTGTAGAACATGATTAGCCAGGCGCGAGGGACTGATTCTGGGCGAGAGGCAGCTAGATCTTCCAGAACATCAGATGGAACAGTTGAAACTGGAAGCCCTTTCTTCTGCAGGGTCGCTGTCAAAGCTGCGAGACACTGTAGGTCAGCATTGGTTTGCTCAAGAAGCGAGAATATCACTCGCCTTCAGCCCACCTCTCGGCCTGGTGCTCGTGTCGAAAGAAGTTCGTCGCAGACTCCTTCGCAAGCCAGTCCATCATCGAAGCATCATACCAGGTGGAACGATACTCCTCGAACAGAGCGCCCAGGGCCTTGAATGATTGATGCTCTTTGCCAGCCAGGCGTGAAAGACGTTCATGCGTACTTGTGAGGTCGTCGGCAAGCTGAGGTCGAGTCAAGACGGTATGTTGAGCCTGAGGTGGAGTACCATGTCCTGCATTGCGCTTTCGCTTGCGACGAATGATGCCAGATCGAGAATACGAGCAGTCCGCTGCTTCTGGTTTGCATCGCCCGCATCCCGAGAGTTCACGCGAGCAAGATGCCTCAGGTCATAATTAGTATAAGCAGACCTCTGCGCTCAACGAAAAATGATGCACCTTGCGAGCACGGCATCTGTCACACTGACAACCCGGTGTTAGTGTCGAAGCTGTGAAGGTCATGTGATCTGTCTCACAGCATATTGAGCCTTCTCTTCCGAACCCATTACTGCAGCTTTTGGTCTCGTGAAAGGGCTTTCGGAAGTTAGGTGACACTTTGGAGGAAACGCGGAAGAAGGGCTTTACGCGGGAGGCGTTTTTGAGTTCCTGAGGATTCTTGGTGCGACCCGAGAAGCGATCCAATGGCAGAACGGATTGTTGGCGGCGATTCTCTCCACGGAATTTACGGCCTTTCACCAGGAGCAAGAATGGGAAGCGAAGGCTGGTACATATGAAGGAAACACCACTTCTCCATCCACGATGCCTGCGACCGGAATTCAACCCATCTCATGAACTGGTATCTTCACGCAGCCTTTGTTCAAAGCAGGATCCGCCAACAATTGATATCAAGAATCGCCATACGCCACGACAGGGCACAGTCAATCAAGATGCCCCAGCCACCTATAGCGATACTGGGAGCTGGACCAGCAGGTCTCACTCTTGCTCGACTGCTGGAACAGAAGGGTTTCAACTATGTCGTCTTCGAGAGAGATTCCCATCGATCAGAGCGGCCGCAGGGAGGTTCGCTCGACATTCATGTTGGCTCGGGACAGCTTGCAGTTAAGGAAGCAGGTCTGTGGGATGACTTCCTTAAGTTCGCCAGATATGATGCGCCGACAACGATCACAGACAAGAATGGCAAAGTTGCCCTGAGAATGGACCCGGAGCCTGGCGAAGGGGTATTCGATCGTCCTGAGATCGATCGGACTGCGCTGCGTAATTTACTGTTGGACTCCATCCCCGCTTCAAAGATACAGTGGGGGCGAAAGGTCTCCCGAGTTTCAAGGAGCAAGGGCGGCACTGTGTCGGTAGAATTTCAGGCAGGACAAATTGAGACGGGATTCCAATTGGTGGTCGGCGCCGATGGTGCCAGGTCAAAAGCAAGATGCATGGCAAGTCGGCTGCTCCTCGCCTTTGCAACCAACATGTGCTGACGATGAATAATAGGTCGGAGGCGCTGAACCAATTTACGAGGGTCTCGCGTATCTCGCTACATCTGTAGAGCCCAAGCATTCAGTGTATCCAAAAATCGTCAGACGGGCGGAGAAAGGCAGTTTCAATAGCGTGGGAAGTGGCAAGATGCTGACACTGCAATACACCGGAGACGGACTGTACAACATGTACATCGGGCTGAAGCTTCCGGAGTCTTGGGCAGCCACGGAGGGCGCAAGTCTTCTGCAAGATCCGACTGCCTTGCGGAAGTGGTTGATCGGGGAACCTTTCGCCGACTGGGCCGAGTCGGTGACAGATGTAATCAGAGACGGCGAAGGAGGATTCCGCGTGTGGTCACTGGGGTCTGTTCCGCTCGAATCTCTGAATTGGACATCGGTCGCTGGTGTGACGCTGGTCGGCGATGCGGCGCATGTCACGTATCCAAACGGCGAGGGCGTGAACAACGCGATGCACGACAGTCTCCAATTAGCACGGAAGATTGAGGAATTTGGACTCCACTCACTGGATCGCGCAGTGGTAGAGTATGAACAGCTGATGCTCCCACGTGCGCGCGAGCATGTGAAAGACGGCGTGGGAACGCGAGAGCTAATGTTTGGCGAAAAGGCGCCGGAAGGCTTTAAGAAATTGTTCGACGAGCATGTGCTATAAGAATGCTGTAAGCTCATTCTTGGCTCGTGATCGCCTCTAGTCTAGTCAGTTCTTCACCCTGGCATAGAATAATGCATGGGTGATGCAGATGCCGAAAGGTTATCCCCTGTAAAAACTCGTCGCCTCGGAGCGTTTGTTAGCAAAATAGGTATTAGCCCCTATAGTATCTACTTAGTTAGCATATAGAAGCCGCTCTATAGGTAAACAAACAGGCCTTAATTAGTCTCGGTTATAGGCGCGTTAAGCCTCTTTAAGCGCTTAGCTATAGTCGCTACTATCGGTCGTCTATACTAACTTAATTACTCTTATAAATTCAAACTCGAAGCCGCTAAGGAGCGTATAATTACTATAAAATAGCGAGCTTCTAAGCCTTGATAGAAAAGCAATATTAAGCAGCTTAGCAGGTTGTAGGCGGGATATGAGCGTATCCGATAACTCCGTCTTGTATATATATAACGAGCTCGCCTGAAAGGGTCGTATACCTAGTGTATTACAGAGCGTGTACACTATCCACAGCTTGGTGGACCCCATCACTATCCACTACGTACAGACAATTCTGCAGGCCAAGAGAAAGACGGATGACGCGCTAATCACATCCGAACCAAGGGAATGCTATGCGGGGAGCCGCATGGGCGGACTACTGTACTGTAGCTGCAGAGTACAGTGACAATAATAATGCCCTTTACAGCTCCGACAGGCACACAAAGGCATAATAGGATTGCTACCGTTCGATTTTATGCTGCCGCCATGTTGCCTGATGACCGGACACGGCATGGCTCTTTGTGCGCAGCAGTAGTGCAAACAATCAAACACGCGTGCTGGTGCTACAACGGACACGCGTGAGCACCTCATCCTCCAGCCACCATGTCGCTCGTGGGCAATTTTGCCTTCAACAACTATGACCGCACGGCAGAGAACACAGGCGCTGGAACGGGCACAGGCTTTGTACGTCGATCATCCTTCCCAGACCAGGACCAAGAAGGCCGACCACATCGACCGAGGCGAGGAAGCTTCCTCAGAAGACGGCCATCACAGGCTGCATCACCATCTGATGCGCCGAACCCCCTTCTAGTGCCGGACCTTCCCATCGAGCAAAGTCCGAATGAAGCCTTGCGGGACGTCGAGAAAGGTGATGCGGAGAAGGAAGGGCTGGAGGCCTACGAGAATAATGCAGAGCGAAAGCTAGAGTCAGACGAGGAGTCCACCAAATTTTCCCTCCAACGTGCTATCACACAACTTGCGCGAACCACCACCAATTGGAGCCAAGTGCCATCCAACCCATTTGAAGCTGGAGAGCACTCGGAGCTGGACCCGCATTCAGAAAACTTCAGAGCAAGATCGTGGGTAAAGAGCATGATCAAGCTCCAACGTGAGGACGGCAGAAATCCAGAACGTACGGGTGGCGTGGCATTCAAAGGCCTCAGCGCTCATGGCTTTGGTGCTGCCACGGATTACCAGAAAGATGTCGGCAACATCTGGCTGGAGGGCATCGCACTGATCAAGAGTCTCCTTGGGCTCGCCAAGCCTCGTCGAATCGACATTCTGAGAGACTTTGAAGGTCTGGTGGAAAGTGGAGAGATGCTGGTCGTGCTCGGACCTCCTGGATCTGGATGCTCGACCTTGCTGAAGACACTGACTGGCGAAATCCATGGATTTGCTGTCGATGAGAATTCCCACCTGAACTACCAGGGAGTCCCCGCGAAAGACATGCACAAATACTTCCGCGGCGAGGCAATCTACACCGCTGAAGTCGATGTCCACTTTCCTAAGCTGAGTGTAGGCGACACACTTTACTTTGCAGCCCGCGCACGTGCGCCAAAGATGACCCCAGGCGGCGTGAGCAAGAACACATGGGCCACACACATGAGAGATGTTGTAATGGCAACGTTCGGCATCAGCCACACCATCAACACTCGAGTAGGAAACGACTTCGTTCGCGGTGTTTCTGGTGGTGAGCGCAAACGTGTTACCATTGCCGAGGCTGCTCTTAGCGGCGCACCTCTACACGCATGGGACAACTCCACCCGTGGACTTGACTCGGCCAATGCGATCGAGTTTTGCAAGACGGTCCGTCTCAGTGCCGAGCTTGCTGGCTGCGCCGCCATGGTCGCCATCTACCAGGCCCCTCAGGCTGCCTATGATCGCTTCGACAAAGCCATTGTCCTGTACGAAGGCCGCCAGATCTTTTTCGGCCGAACACATGAAGCACGCCAATACTTCGAGAATATGGGCTTCCATTGTCCAGACCGCCAGACTTCGGCTGACTTCCTCACCAGTATGACTTCTGCTCAAGAGCGAGTCGTCCAGCCCGGCTTCGAGGATCAGGTGCCTCGTACGCCAGATGAGTTTGCCGAGCGATGGAAGGCGAGCCCCGAGCGTGCACGGCTGCTCAAGGACATTGACGCATACGACAAGCGGTATCCGTTCAAGGGTAAGGCATATCAGCAATTCGTTGACAGCCGCAAAGCTCAGCAGGCCAAGGGGCAGCGTATCAAGTCCCCATACACTCTGTCTTACGCGCAGCAAGTCAAGCTGTGTCTATGGAGAGGCTTCAGACGTCTGGTCGGAGACCCGGAACTCACTTACACCCAGCTCTTTGGCAACTTCGTCATGGCCCTCATCCTCGGATCTGTCTTCTTCAACCTCCAAATGACCACTGACTCGTTCTTCCAGCGCGGAGCTGCCCTCTTCTTCGCCATCCTGCTGAATGCTTTTGGCTCTGCCCTCGAAATCCTCACACTGTACGCCCAGAGACCGATTGTCGAAAAGCATGACCGCTACGCCTTGTATCATCCATCAGCCGAGGCCTTCGCATCAATGTTGACGGATATGCCATATAAGATCGTCAACGCCATCATCTTCAACACAACCCTCTACTTCATGGCCAATCTCAAGAGGACACCTGGTGCCTTCTTCTTCTTCGTGCTCATCAGCTTTACTACTACGCTAATGATGAGTATGTTGTTCAGAACCATCGCATCTGTGTCACGAACTCTGTCGCAGGCCATGGCGCCGGCTGCACTCCTGATCTTGGCCATTATCGTCTTCACTGGATTTGCCATTCCTACCGACTACATGCTTGGGTGGTGCCGATGGATTAACTACATCGATCCCGTGGCGTACGCGTTCGAAGCGCTGATGGTTAACGAATTCGCTGGGCGTCAGTACACCTGTAGCTCCGCCTCTCTAGTGCCTCCCTACGGCAACTTGAGCGATCAAAGCCAAGTGTGCACCGCTGTCGGCTCCGTCGCGGGACAAAATTTCGTTGCCGGTACAGCCTATCTCGAGACCGCTTACAAATACTACCCATCGCACCGCTGGAGGAACTTCGGGATCGTCATTGCTTTTGGTATCTTCTTCATGGGTGTTTATTTGACAGCAACTGAGCTCATCAGCGCAAAGAAGTCCAAGGGCGAGGTGCTTGTCTTCCAACGCGGCCACATTCCACGCGCATTGAAGGAGAAGGCCAAGGATGAGGAAAGCGTCGGCGAGAACCAGAGGAATGCATTGGCCAAGACAGAAAGCTACACGGCCGCCACGGACATTCTCCAGAAGCAGACTGCCATCTTCAGCTGGAAGGATGTGTGCTACGACATCAAGATCAAGAGCGAGGAGCGCCGCATTCTGGACCACGTCGACGGCTGGGTCAAGCCAGGCACTTTAACCGCTCTCATGGGTGTCTCTGGTGCCGGCAAGACTACTCTTCTCGATGTGCTTGCCACCCGTGTTACCATGGGAGTGATCTCCGGCGAAATGCTTGTTGATGGACGTCAGAGGGATTCTTCTTTCCAGCGCAAAACCGGATATGTGCAGCAGCAGGATCTCCACCTTCAGACTTCAACGGTGAGAGAAGCTCTCAACTTCAGCGCCCTCCTGCGACAACCAAAATCTACGTCACGCGCAGACAAGCTCGCCTACGTCGAGGAGGTGATCAAGCTTCTTGACATGGAAGAGTACGCCGATGCCGTCGTTGGTGTTCCCGGAGAAGGGCTCAACGTCGAACAGCGTAAGCGCTTGACTGTTGGTGTGGAACTCGCTGCCAAGCCTGAGCTCCTTTTGTTCCTCGATGAGCCTACATCTGGCCTCGATTCTCAAACTTCCTGGGCAATTTGCGATCTGATGGAGAAGCTGAAAAATTCCGGTCAAGCCATTCTGTGCACCATCCACCAGCCGTCGGCGATGCTCTTCCAGCGTTTCGATCGCCTCCTGTTCCTCGCGAAGGGCGGTAAGACTGTCTACTTCGGCGAGATTGGTGAGAACTCCAAGACCTTGTCAAGCTATTTCGAGCGCAACGGTGCCCACGCCTGCCCGCCAGATGCCAACCCGGCTGAATGGATGCTTGAAGTCATTGGAGCTGCGCCCGGTTCAAGCACGGATATCGATTGGTATCAAGTCTGGCGCAATAGCCCCGAATATCAACAGACGCAAGAACACCTCGAGATGCTCAAGATCGAACGGCCAAAGCAGGCACCTGTGAGCAATACCAGCGACCAGGAAGCCTACCGCGAATTCGCTGCACCATTTGGCGAGCAACTGTTGGAGGTCACCCGACGTGTATTCCAACAGTACTGGCGCACACCCTCCTACATCTACGCCAAGGCGGCGCTCTGTACCTGCTCATCTCTCTTCATCGGCTTCATTTTCTTCCGGGCACCACTCACCCATCAAGGTCTTCAAAACCAGATGTTCTCGATCTTCATGACCTTCACGATCTTCGGACAGCTCACGCAACAGATCATGCCACACTTCGTCACCCAGCGTTCCCTCTACGAGGTCCGAGAACGTCCTTCGAAGGCATACAGTTGGCAAGCATTCATGGTCAGCAATATCTTCGTCGAGCTGCCATGGAACAGTCTGATGGCCGTGATCATGTTCTTCTGCTACTACTACCCCGTGGGACTTTACAACAACGCCGGATCTGATGTTCACGAGCGAGGAGCACTCTTTTTCCTGTTCATGCTGCAATTCCTGCTTTTCACGTCCTCATTCACAAGCATGGTCATTGCCGGCATGGACAGCGCGGAAACCGGAGGTAACATTGCCAATCTGATGTTCTCGCTCTCCCTGATCTTCTGCGGTGTCCTGGTCAACCCACACAGCCTCCCCGGCTTCTGGATCTTCATGTACCGCGTCTCGCCCTTCACCTACTTGGTCGGCGGCTTCTTATCGACCGGTCTGGCCAACGCAAGAGTCACCTGTGCTTCCAACGAATTCGTCACCTTCCAACCCGGAAACGGCACCTGCGGCACCTACATGTCTGAATATCTCAGCACCTTCGCAGGCTACCTCGAAGACCCTAATGCCACGAGAGATTGCCAATTCTGCTCATATGGAGACTCGAACTACTTCTTGTCACGGCTCAGCATTTTTTACGGCGACCGGTGGCGCAATTTCGGCATTCTGTGGGCGTTTATCATTTTCAATATCTGCGCTGCTGTGTTTTTCTACTGGCTTGTGAGAGTACCCAAGCACAAGGGCAAGAAGAAGGAAACCTCGCAGTGAGGATAGAAAAGGGGAGGTTGGGGGGGGGGGAGGAGCATAGAGGGTGATTAGCGCATAGCATAGATGGTAGATCAAGAAGACTACCTAGTACCGTAGCTTGGTTCGTTAGAGCGAGCGATTGGGAATTGTACATTTAGAATAGAAACCTCGCTATCAGTATAGAGGCATGTAATGTTGTCGAATTACGGGTCTCCTTCAGCTTCTCCTATCACTGTCGCATGATTTGCCGCGAGCTCAAACCAGCGTATACGAGAGCACTAATCATAATGCTCGAGGTCCCTATACATGGAAAACCGGGTTTGATCAGCTTCCGCGTTCCCCAAGTACACTGGGTCGTGGCAAGTTCTACTTTCGGATTACCTCTCTTCCGCTCGCTTGCAACACAAAAGGATCTGACGTGCTAGCGCTCGCTTACGAGACGTTGAACGGTGTCGCTTGGTTCTTCTCCGGGATAGTCCCGAACAAATCCCATGCGGCAAGGCGATGGATGTGGTACTACGATCTCCGTCTCCGTACCAACGAGGAGGGAAGAGCGAGCACTTCAAGTCTATGTATATTGCACATATATTCCGTCGATCGATTTTACGCACTAGTCTCATACTTTATATGCAGCCTGATGCGATGTCCGAACTTCCAGAACAACCACGGTATAGGCGCCATGGCCACGGTAATGAAAGCTAATATGCTCGTTGCCCAGCCTACTCCCAGGGCCTGAAACATTCTGGATGGCAGCAGTCAGCGGATGTTCAGCCACACGGATGATTACTTTTCAAGACCGACTGACTGGAACGAGAAGAGCGGAAATGCGGCCGAGAGTGAATATCGACTGAGCATTGCTGCACCAGCAGCTGAAGCTCCGTATAAAGGACCGTAGGAGTCCATCATGAATAGATTCGTTGGTGCGTAAATCACCACCGACGACATCTGCAAGTGAAGGGTAGAAGTGTTAGCAGATGTGCTAAGCGAGGAAAAGCCGTTTGCAACGAGGTGACGCGATTGCGGCTTGAGAGTGAGACAAGAGGACGACATTTTGGCCTTTAGTTTACTCACCATCGCTACTCCTTGAAAGAATATGGGAACGATCCAGTGAACGCGATACTGTGCCGTCCAAGCAAATACTAGCAGCGCGATCGGCATGACAGGGGATGCTACCATAGCAGGATATAGTCGATGCTCGGGAGGGAACTGGTCGTCTTGCACGTGCGTTTCGTGCCACACTCTGAGTCGAGGTTGGTAGATGTAATGGTCTAGTAAGATCAGAGGATAGGGCGCAAGGAATGAACCGAGTATGAGGCCTAGGAACGACAGCGATTGTCCTGTGATGCCGAAACCGTAGCAGTGTTCTATTGCAGGTCAGTTTTCATTCGGCGCACTGCTTTTTCCTCGTGCGTGCTTCGCTTACCGTATACCCAGGGAGATGCGATGACGAAGGTGTACATCAGCCCGAAAAGGAAGCCGCTGTACATGCAGACCAGAGTAACAATGGTCTCGGTAAAGAGCATATGTGCCGGTCTTATGAATAAGGTGGTAGCAAAGTAGTGGATCCACTGTGCAGTCGTCCTTTGCACGACAGCCGGGCCCTCAATGCCATACTTCTTCGCGCGGCTCTGCAAAATCGTCTTCTTGTAAGTTTCCTTCGTCAAGCAGATAGGTAGGTAGAAGGCGATGATGAAGAAGATAGTCGTCCACTGAGTCCACCTCCAGCTTTTGGCCTTGACCACGAACCCGCCGATCAGAGGTCCAGTTACAGCCCCGAAAGTAGGCATGGAGTAGTAGAAAGCCATCACGATCGCTCGATACTGGCCAGCAGTATAATCGCATATAGTCGCGCTAGCATTTCCTATCGCAGGAGCTGCAACCACGCCGGCGAGAAAGCGACAAATATTCACGCTGGCCACATTTTGCGAAACCCCTGTCCCGAGCGTAAAGAGTGCGAAGAGGGGTGTTGTCACTAAGACCACGACTTTACGACCTGCTGTTTCGCTCAGAGGACTCCCGATGAGTGGCCCGAACGCCATTCCAATGTTGTAGAGCGACAAGCCCAGAATCCCAATCTCCTTGGAGGTATTGAAGTCGGCTTGCACGCCATTGATTCCGGCACTGTATAGTGACGCGGCTAGAGTGCTGACAAAGGCTAGGCCGGTGTATGCTATCGTACTGCCTCCCTTCCGTCGTGTCGAGAAGTTGCGAGGATTCTCTGGATCATTTGGACCACTCCAGTCCCGAGCATCGTCGAAAGGCATTTCCTCGTCCGAGATCATGTTACCCGATGTCCACTTGTCTATGTACGGCCACCGTTTTGCACACGCCAGGGCATGATTGACCTACAGTACTTATTTATCCTCTATCACCATTTCCAACACCACCCGTACCTGATCCTCCAGCCGAGCTCGGAGGAATGCTCTGAGGAAACGCAGGGCGTGGGCGTGGGCGTGCGTGCCGATCTCCCGCTTGGCTACGGAATGACATTGTGGAAGTTCTGATGATGAGCATGAGCAATGAATGAACATCATGTCGCGGGTGAAAACGGGAGAAACACATGGTGCGTGATGTGATGCATTCATCTGTACGTTCCATATCGCAAGTGTTGTTGTTGATGGAAGGGGAAGAGGTTGGAGCAAGGTTACGAATTTTATTGAGAAATGCTCTGTAATAATGCTACCTGTTATTGTAAAGTATCGAAAAAATTTAATAGACATTTGTAGATTACGTATAGTATGTGTTATCTATACTGCTAGCTTGGTACGAAGCCGGTTTTAATAGTTAAGCTAAGTATTAGGCTATAAAGTATAAACTAGCACTACCTAGTAGTAAGAACTAGAAATATCGAGTATATAGTTCTAAGTTGCTATCTAATTAGGTATTTATACTTATATTTTTTAGTATATAAGTAAAACTAATATTAAATCCTAGATCTTAATTTCTGTTCTAAATAGCGATAATTATATCTCTCTATTTCTACTAATTTATATAGCAGTCTACTAGCGCTTTAGCTATACTAATTAATTTTTTTTTAATTTTTTTTAAAAAAAATTAATACTATTATACTACTGCTATATTACGATATAACACTATTGCATATACGATAGTAGGTAGCGGTTACTATCGACCGCTGCGGTCGCTATTGCTACTAATAGTAGGACTATTATATAGATAGCTTGCCTCGCGGTACCTTAGAGAATATATTAACTTTTGTACCGTATAACTGTTACGATACCTTCGTACTATAACCGTATGCCTAGCAACTTAGTAGCTTTACTTAATACTTAGTTAGCTTCTATACTAACTACTAGTCCTCTACCCGAATCGACCCTAGTCGTTATAGCTACGACGAGAATCGACGCGATTAGCTACGGGTCCTACCGATCTTCCGCCGATTACTACGATTTAACTCCTACCCGTTACAATAGTACCTATTCGATTTACTACCCTTTCGCACTATACCCTACCGACGCGCGAGCGCCTTATCGGCGATCCTATTAGTACCCCGAGGAGATAGTAGTAGTAGTTTCTACCTTTAGTAGCAATTGCCTACTATACCTAGGTTTAGGGGTAGCCGCTTTCCCTAGGAGGACCTGCCCGATAAGCTACGCTCCTCCGCCTTTAGTCGGTTCTCCGTTGTTGTCCTCCGTTTAGAGACTATCTCGCCTCTACCCTCTTACTAATAGTTTACCCGCTTGCCGTAGCTCCTTCGGACTCGCTTCTAACTCCGGTAGAAGCCTCGAAATTAGCTAAGCTAGCGGTTTAACCGCTACCCTAGTACTATAATCTTAGATTACTAGATATAGAGCCCTATATCCTACGTATCTGTTCCTATATTTAGAACTACGTCGATTATAGCGAGAACTTCGCAACCTAGCTTAGGGCAAAGTATAGCTAAATCGACTTACTTACCTTATACGTTCTGTATTATTACCCGCTCGTAGGAAATCCGCCGCCTCTATAGGCTAAAATCGAGGAACTCTACCTAGACGCCCTTAATAGTTACAACTTCCTAGGATAGTAGGTAGTAGATAAAGGAATTCTAACTAAATCGGTTAAGGAGCTTAAAGCCGCGCTCCTAACGGTACGCGATTTACGCTATTACCGTCAATTCTACCCGGAGATCTATCTACTACCTATAGTAGAGCAGCGCCTACTAGCCCGACCGCCTTAAGTTCTACCGCGGCCTACGGTTTCGCCTATTACTATAGTAGAAACAACCGTACCGCTAGGATAGCGTCCTAGTTCGCCTAATAGCTCGCTTAAATCGGTTTTCTTATAGAGGCTACTTAAGCTACGATACCTAGCGGACGAGAATCCTTAGAAGCTAAGGGGGCCTCTACCTAAGACTTCCCCTAAGGACCCGTTAACCGGGCTTTCCGATCTATCGACGTCGCTATTCTAGAACATCGGTCGCGGCTAATTGCCTCTAATAAACGACGGCCTCGCCGACCCGTAGGCTAACGAGCCGCGTAGTTATTTCTAATATCGTACCCTAGTAGATGCCTCGTAGATAACTAAGGAGATCGATAGGGCGAATATCGCTATATAGCAAAACCGTTAGCGTTGTAATTATTTTCGCGAATTAGCTAGACGGAGAGGAGTCTATTTTAACGAAGTCGTATTAGACTTTCTAATAGAATAGGCGATTTTACCGCTATCGGCTACGCGTAAGCTAAGTCCGCTCTAGCCGAACCTAGGTTAATACGATTACTAGTAGAGGGCAGACGTATATATAAATACCCGTAGGTATAGCTGCTTGCGTCGGGGCGGGTTTACGCTAGGCGATCTGCCTAGCAATCCGCTTAGTAATCCTTCTAGCAATCTACCCGGAAATCCTCCTAACGATCCTCTACTACCGCTACCTAGTAACTTCGATCCGGGTAATTCCTCTCGTAAGCCGACGTAGGGTTAGCCTTTGCCCTTTCCGCTATTAGACTTGTAGAGTCTACTATAGGAAGGCAAGAAGTAACGCTAGAAACACCGTTAGTATAGGGATAATCCGAGTAAGGATAGATCTTTATCTAATAGTAAGGATTCGGACGACTCCGATTAATCCTCGTCGGATAACGATAGCTCCTTAGATACTAGTTATTATAGGCATGCCCGCTGTCGCAGATACCGTTAGTATTATTAGGACTACGTCGCGGAAGCGCTAGTTTCTAAAGCGAGTTATATCTAGGGGCACTACGCCTGCCCTTAGTAGCTACAGTTTAATCTAGCGTATCTTAGGTTCTTCGATTCTCTGCTTAGTATTACGGGTTACGGCAAGGGAGACTACGCCTTAGTCGGGAATAAGATAATATACCGTTCGGTATATGCTTTTATCGAAGCGGCTAAGGATTATACTTATATCGTAGGGCGAGAGATAGTTCGTTTTAACCTCTCCCTTTACTTTCGAGGGGTAGCGCTTAGTTAGTATTATAGTTACCTTTCTAGCCGCAACCGAGTAAAGCTCCGCAGCGGACATAGTCTAAAGCGCTAGGAACGTTGTCTTAGTAAGAAATAGAAGGTCCCTCCGATAAAGGCGATAGATCTCCTCGATAAGTAGCGCTACGACCGGTAGGATATCGCTTTAGGGCGTTTGGTGGCGGACTTTATTATTAAGACAATACGACTCGCTAAGGATACCGGCGTATAGAAATCGAACCGGCTCTTAGAAGCTTACCGTCGAATAGACCCGCGCCTCTAATTAAATATAGACGAGCTAAATTGTCGTATAAAGGTCGATAAGTAGGTTACGTACTGCGAGAAGTAGGTATTAATCTAGGAGTATATGCTTTTGTTCTCGTCTAATCGTCGCTAAGACGCTACGACTAGGAATAATAGCCGCGCTAGTAAGGCTACCTAGTAGAACCGATACGAAGGGAACGCCTTTTATACTCTAGCGAGCTTCGCTCTAGTAAGAGCATCCTCTAACTACTAGAACCGCGATGTCGACCGATCGAACCTACTACGCCTTACTAACGCCTATTAGCAGAATCGCCTACCTAACGCCTCTTAGTATAATCGCCTACCGCCGGTAGGAAATAGTAAAGGACCGTCGAAGGGTAGTAGCCCTACCTTCCTCCTAAAAGACCTAAAGCGAGTCGATTCGCGCCTATTTAATCGATAGGATAGAAAGCGTAACGATCGAGCTCGTAAGTAGGCTAACTTTACCGATAATAGTAAGAAAGTAGGCGATACTATAAATAATACTAACTAAGCCGACGACGGCTATTAGGAGGATAGTTAGGAGGATAATAAAAGAACCGATGCGGATAATTATAGCTATTTTAGTAACGCCGGAGAAGACGCCGACTACTTTACCGACCTATACGACTCCGATCCGGGCTTAGGAGCTTACTTTGCGGGCGTAGGCGACCGCTCGCTATTAGCGTTAAACTCGGTGCTATAGGCTAAAGCGTCCCTACTAGCGGCGATCTAACTATTTACCTCTACGAAGTACGCTTATAAGGTCTATAGGCGGCGATTTAAGTTAGGCAACCTTCTATACTAGTATGTTTGTAAAAAGTATATAGGGGCGACGACGCCTTCTACTATTATCGAACGCATATCGGCAAACCTAAAAGTAATTTAGTCGAAGGCGCCTCCGTTAGCTTAGCAAGGTTACGTATTCCGGAATTAGTAATATATAACTTTCCCTCTTCGGTTATTACTATCTAGTACATTTATATAGGTCTGCCTAGATACTAGCTATACGCTTACTATTGCGGAAAAAGACTTCGTTTTAAGCTATTACCTAGACGTAGAGGTACGTAAGCTATACGAATCGATCGAAATCGGCGGTATTACCGGCGTATATCGCTCCGAGGAATACGTCGTATTAGATATGTTTGTCCTAGTAGCGAAGACGGATAGTATAGTCTCCCTAGTGCGAATAACTCGTAAGGTTTACCTAGTTCCTAAACTAAAGGCAAAAATCCTAGTCGGTATAGATACAATTGCTCTAGAGGGAATAAAGATCGATATTCCCGTACGGACGGTTACCGTAGCTAGTTAGGACAACGCCCGCTTTAAAGTAGCCGTTAAGCGTAAGAAAGGGAAGTCGGTTTAGCGCCCTATAAGGCTAGCGGAGGACGTAATATTAGCGCCGCGTACGGTCGCCCTCGCGCTAGTTAAGTACGATAGTAACCTCCCTAAGGGCCGGGATTTTATTCTTAACGCCGGTTTCTTAGTCTAGCTAACTAGCAATATATAGGGATTGTCGTTACAAGCTCCGCCGTTAGTAACAGCGTATAATTAGGTCGTAGACGCTAAT